TACATCTTAAAAGAAATAATCTCCTCTCCCTTCCTCCCCCCCCCAAGGCAATTCCTTTTGTTAAATATCCCCTTAACTTTAATACATTTCATGGTATTATAATCTGATGTTTCCATTTCTGCTAACAATGAAAAACACTTCTATTTGCTCAGTTTTACTACCCTACTCATCAAACAAGCCATATGTTAAAACATATAAAACACAGGAATTTGTTGAAGATACATCTGCATAAAAGTTACTAATAGTTCATCTGACAGTTTGCTATAGCATGTAAGATTATTAAAATCTACAATAGATCGAATTTACGCAGATAGATCTTCAGAAGCTTCAGATCTGTTGCAGAAGCATACCATGGGGCATAAAATCCCAGAGCTGCCTTTAGCTTAAAGCAGTAAACACATCTTGTGCAGGACACATCAGCACAGTAGAAACACTCTCTAGAACCGCAGATATTATTCTTGCCAAAGGGATGACTGCTAACAGACAGAAATTGGTGATGAAATCTATTATGATGTTCCAACTATTATTTGTATTCCAGTAGCATACAGGAGTCCCATTTATGGAATATGGGTAGCACAAAGAGGAACCCTGCCGTGAAGAGCTGAATCTAATAAGAATTAAAATGTTTAAAAGATCGATTTCCCTGGGTTACCATCACCAAATCATATAAAAGCTGAAGAACATGAAACAATGTGTGTTTCTCCAGTTATGCTTTCTGCTTACTGTATCTCTGTTCTCACACTCTCAGCCTGGAGAGCACTTGCTTCATAGCTAGACGATAGTGGAGGTGGTCCCCAAACCCTTTTTCTATTGTAATACAGGGTCTCGTATGGAAAAGAGTCAGACAACTGCACTTAAAACTGCAACAAATAAGGTTTAAAACCCATCCGTTGAAAATATATTTTTCAAAAGTTCAAGTTAAATAAAAACATTTCTGCTAATATTAAAATATTGGACACTACAGTATGTTAGGCCCCATTTTAAAAGTTGGGGGTGCAGTTATCAGATATCATCCCTTAGAACAAGGCACAAAGGATTCATCTAGTGCAGGGTTTCCCAACCTATGGGTCAGGACCCAAATATGGGTAGCCATTACTTTTCAAAAGGGTCACCAAGTGTCTCTGCCCCCCCTCCTCCCCCTGTTTTTGAATTGCCTTGGGTCACCAAGTCTTCCTGAATTGCCAAAATGGGTCCCCATCTAGAAAACATTGGGAACCGCTGATCTAGTGTGAGCATTCATCAAGTGTATACATGAAACAAAAGTACTGTCAGAAGGACCATGGCAATTTTGATGAATACAGAGATTTAAGTTCACTTGTACCCACCCACCCATTGATATTCAGATCTCCCCACAGATCTCCTCTGTGTTACTGATTTTCCCTTCACGTTGGGAGCCAAACTATTTTCAAATGAGCTATGTTTTAAGAAGAGTTTCCAATCTCAAACAAGTTTTTGCTATAAACATCTGTGCCAGAGATCTTAACAACTGTTAAGATTTCAGTGTAAAAGTGCTAGCTGAGCATATTCTAATGAAGTATAAGGGATGACACAGAAAAGTGAAAATGGGTAGATCTGAGTCTTGGCATATCTGTGGAGATCAGTTACCAGACTGATCCTTGTCAGAATAGGTGGCTTAATACTGATGCAAGAGCATTTCCTTCTTTTAAACTGTCAACTTGGTGCAATTGGCCAAACAAACCAGAACCAAGAAAAGTCTTAAGATGAAAGTTCTAGAATATAAACTCAAACGTACATTTGCAAAGTAGCCCTCAATTTTGTTCAGGGATTCTCTCAAGTAGTTAGTGAACGCTAAATCTGAAAGTGTCCCAACTTAAGGGGAAAAGATCTCACTATTTGAATTTGCCTACTAACGTATAAGCAGCAACAAAAATAGCTACAACGGAAAGATTTCTATTTTTTTCCAGTTTCCTTTGGTCCATTTAACACTACTTTGGGAACAAGTGAAACTGCTTAGAAAGAAACATGCTGCTGGGCCTTTGTCAATTTCGTCTGCTGTTTATGGGTCTGCCAGACAGCACCAGAGAAGAGGAAAGCTATTTTAACAACAGGGAAATGTGACTGTAAGAACCACAAAAGACTAGCATGGAGACTGAGGGGATGGAGGTGTAGTACTTGAAGCTACTTTTAACTGGCATTTTGAGGATTATTAGGTATCAAATCAGAGCAGTGTGAAAGTCAGTCAGTGGTGTCTGTACAGAGCAGAGTTCTTCCTACTTGAGAAACCCAGCAGCAGCTAGGAATGCATATTTTAACATTTCCTCCAGATTGATCTATATGGAATAAACTTTTTCGATGAGGATAATATGCAGTCACCCACAGGCATGTAAAACCATTACAAAAAAAAATATCCTTCAAACATACAGCAAGTCAAGATTGCTAAAGAGACTCACAGATACCATCTGCCAAAGTACAAAGCAGCAGGTTAGCAGCAAGACCCCCGGGATTTGTGCAATCGGTTAGAGATGTCCAGAGGGGAAGAATAAAGCAAGATCTGCCCCTCCTTCAAGGCTACAGTGACTTTATCCATTTAACAGATGGGAAGCTGCACATACAAAGGAACCCTGATAAGCAAGAGAAATATAAAGCACATTCCCCCACACAGACAGCCGTTCTCCCTCTCTGCATACCCCCTACTGGGACCTTATCCATTTAACAGATGTAGGCTAACAGGGAAAGAAAATGGGTGCATAAAGCAAGTCCCCCTATATATTCCCTTTCCCACCATTACTCCAGTGACTATCTTCTTCACTGGAGAGAAGCTACATATGCCAAGAAGATGGGGAGGGGTGCCCCATACCTAGAGCAGCAGCAGAACAGGGGAAGGCAGAACAAGGATAGCCTGCTCTAAGCATGTGTGGCAGGATATGAGAACACAGACGGGCTCCTGAGGCAGAAGAAAAGATCCTACCGTAGGCACTGCTTGGGGGGGGAGGGCAATGAGGGGGTGCACAAGGGACGCGCTTACTCCCTGCACTACTAGAGGGGAGGCATAGAAAAGGGGTGTCCGGAGGGAGACGCTGTGCTGCAGGACAGAGAAGGGATGTGGGGGGCTGCTGGGGGAGCCCAAGGAAGGGGCAGCCCTCACCTGTAGGCAGCCACCGCCCGGTTCTGCAGGTATTTCTGGGCTGTCATGACCCCCACGAAGAGGAAGCTGCTGGCCGGCGGGTCGTCGACCTGGCGCTGGAGTAGCGTCCCCCGGGAGTCCCTGCGCAGCAGCCCCCCGCCCTGCTGCAGCCGGCAGCCCTCCGGGCTCGCCTTGCGCCGGTGCCCCGCTTTCTTCAGCTCCGAGGCGCGGGGCAGGATGAGCCTTGACGCCAGGATGAAGCCCAGGACATGACCAAGGAAGTGTTACTGAGAGGGAGACAGGAAAAGAGACTGGGGAGTAGAGAGGGAAGGGGGTGAAGCAGGACAGGGGAGAGAAGGAGGGGGGAGCATTAGGGATGTAAGCGACTACCTGATAAGCTTAGGCTGATGGGGGGGGGGGGTCTTTGCCCACGAAAGCTTATGCTGCAACACTTCAGTTAGTCTATAAGGTGCCACAGGACTCCTCGCCGGTCAATACAAATTGTATCAAGTACATGATTACTCAAATTAGGCCCTTCTTAATATCTTTAGGAAGCATATGGACAGAAATGGGAAAGGTCATGCAGCAGAAGAAAAGTCAGGGAGGGGATGGGGAAGAGTGACTTTGATGTGGGAATGAGAAAAAAAAAATTCCAGTCTGAGCAGAAGTGAGTTGGAATGAGAGAAGGGTCATAAAATAAGGTGGGTCTATTGGTCCCAGACTTTTAAACCCTTTGATGTTGTTCTGCCAAGGGATAGGGGTAAATCGTTCCTCTAGCTCATTGGATTGTCTGTATCCTGGGGCAATGCAAGTTTTGTGGATTCCTAGGATCTTATAATGCGGAGAAATGCTTGGATTCAGTATTCCTCCCTAGCTTTATGTTTAAGGACTGCAAATATAGCGCCAAGCTGGATCCCTAGAACTTCCAATGCTTTTTTTATTTTAATTGGTATCATGGACTAGTTTATCCAACAGACATTGATTACCACTCCATAAGCAAAGGCCCAAACACATCAACAGTAACAGTGCATTACACTCACAAGGCTAGGCTGAACTGGAATTTTCCTTAATATCAGTGGGTATGCCTAGTGGAGTGGTCCCTAACCATTTTACTAATGAGAAACATCAACTACATTTTGTGGGGGGGAGGGGGTTGTTTTGTTTTTTGCAATGCACCACTACCTTCATGCATCCTGCACACAAGTGCCACAACCCCAATCCCAACTCAGTTCACAGGGGAAGCCCCAGCGTGGGTAAGGTTGGGAAGCAAGCCGGCACCACATGCATCCAGGGTTAATCAGTCCCTGAATGTGGCAACTCATCTAGAATCTCCCTGCAACCCACTAATGGGTCAGGAGGACCTGGTGTAGACAAGTGTCATTTATGTGTTTCCATCATATTAAAATCTACTGGGCACATTTCTTTATTAGAGCTACACTGGGTGCTTACACTGGTACAGATGAATCCAGGAAAATTGTTTGGTAAAATTCCGTAGTATGTAGACACAGTCTTGGACAGGCTTTCCTCAAACTTTGTATCCATTTCACTCATAGAAATTCTTTAGCCTTGGTTAGTTTTCTGTGGCCCCCAAGATACCCTGTAATTGTAAAGACCTGACACAGCCTTAATATAAGCTTGCAAAAGGCAATACATCTGGTGAATCCCATCCTGTCCTTATCACTGTGTAGTTCTGTTATTTCCAGTATAATTTTGCATCTTTCAATGCCAGGCTGTCCCATGATTGTTTTTAAATGTATGTTACAGTGCCAACCACAATGTGCTAGGTGTTTTCTGAACACAGTGAACTTAGTGCCAGTGCTCCCTCTAAGCCATGTGCTTATGCTGCTAAGGAGGGATTGAAATGCCGCCCCGCTGATTAGGAGAGCGCCCACTGCTAGGTTTTTTGTTTCTAGTGGTGGTGTACATACACTCAGGCCTCGCAATTATTCCACACACAGTTGGAAAAAATCCACACATGTATGGAAAAGATTAGAGGGAACATTGATTAGTGCCTGTGCCAAAGAGCACAATCCATACACGAACCAGATGAAAGGGAAGCCAATCAAGAACAGGAATTAAAATATACATAAAAATGTATTTATTCATTTAAAAATAATTACTCCCATCTGGTCCTTTTGCTAGTCCTTATTAAGACCAAAAGTTGTTAGTCTGAGGGGCAACTAGTAAGATTTCCTCCTAAACAACATAGAAGAAAAATATATATAACTCAAGAAAGGAGAGAGCAGATAGAAAATCTTATATATGACAACCAGAAAGGATTAAAGCAGGCCGGAGGGAGCTTGCACAAAGCCCTGACCAATCAGGGAAGGGCTGAGATAGCAGCTTGCTAGGGCAACTCTGGTTATAAGGAGCTGCTTAGACGAGCAGTGGGAAGTAGGAGTCTAACCAGGGAAGCACCTTAAAGAAAGCAGTGCTAGGCAGGCTCAGGGGAGCTAGAGAGAGAATGAGGCTCCAGTCCGATACCTGCCAGGCTGCAGGCCTTGTTGTAAGGTTCAGGGCAGTGCAGATGTCAGAGGGGACATGGCCTAAGGAACAGATAGTAGAGGGGGAAAAGAAGGAGGGCAGGCAAAGATGCCACCAGAGGGTCCCTGAGCTGGAACACAGAGTAATGGGTGGAGCTGGTCCCACCATCCTCCTTGTACTGCACGTAGCCAGTACACACTGAGGAGTGGCCGTTATGCATGAGCGGTCTTCTGGCTCCACAGCCATCAACACTTGGACAGAAGCACACCTCTTTTTCCCTCCTTACTGGGTTTTTTCCAGACTGCACAGTTCCTTGCCTACACAGTCTGATTTACTAGGAAATTCACAATCTAAGCTGTCCTGCTTCACTTTTTTTTCAGAGGCTATAAACAGCATAATTGCCCATAGGTATATGTTACCCCATAGTCCCTGATAAGAAAGCACATTACACGTAAAATAAAAGCATTTCAGAGAAACAATATAAGAATCCACACATAAGTAAGCGTACACTTCTTTATCTCCTGCCCACCTTCACAAAGGCTTCCCTAAGGATTGGGATCCTCCCTTTGGACAAAAGCTCCTATCCATTTGCTGGATCACAAAGAAGGCTGTTTTATCCAAAAGTCCTTTGTTGGTTCTCTAAGGAATCCTGTCTGAGCCAGTATATGTGAGGCTCTGCAGGTGGTGGTATCTCTCAGAAGGAGATACAAATCTGAATGCATCTCTCTTAAGTACTCCCCACTGTTTTTATTTAGTTTCTGGAAGGCTGTGATCCCCTTTCTCCATGAAGTTGTATGCAATCCTTAGCCTGCAATGAGTCTTAAACTTGTCCAGGTTATTGCAGGAAATCACTATATCTGTCACAACTAGCTGTAGGTAATATCTAAGCAAACAAAATACTACAGGCTACCAGGCCATTACAGTTACAACAAATTTTGAAGCAAACTTGAATTGACGGGTAGGTGGGAATCCAATGTGGAAACATAAGAAAGGGGTGGAAAATAAATTATTCTGACCCTCTGGATTACCCACAGACATATAAGCAACAGCAGTAGTAAAAGATGGGGAAAAGAGAGAGCAAAACAGCAATGAGAGGAAAGAGAAAACTCCAGGCTGGCATTAAAAGAAAAAGTAGTTGAAAAAAAGTGAAAAGCATCCAGAGAGGAATGCCCCGCAGGAGTGTGGGGGAGGAAAAAAGGCTGACATGTCTCCTAGGTGGTATGCAGGCCAACAAAAAGGCAGTGTAAATATTGCATGGGTTACAAGACTGGCCCAGGAACCAGAGGAAGGAAGGTTTATTTAGGGCCTGATCCAGCACCCAGTGAAGTCTATAGGAATTCTTCCATTGACTCCAATGGGCACTGGCTCAGGCCCATATAATGCAAGGAGACAATTTCCCAGCAGTTTTACAGGTTTGGAGCATAGAGTGGGTTGACAGTTGCCCATTAGAAAGAGTCTGAACTTTTCCTTGTTTTAACTATATTGCCTGCAGAATGCTGTGGAAGACCCCTCTTACAGTAGACCTTTGCTTGCAGAAGAGAAACCCCTCCATCTTAACACACTGACTCCCTTCTGGAGAGGGTGAAAGCATTGCGTACTATTTCTATTACAGTGTCAGTGCCTAAGAGCTTCTATATGAAGTATCGTCCCTGAGACGCACGTTGGAATGTGACCCAGCATGAATTGACATTCATCTCTAGTGAAATAACGTGAAAACACTGTTCATGCAGATCCTTTAATCTGCTTGGTTTCACTTCCCAAATGGTTAAAAAAAATAAGTTCCTTTTTGTGATAGTTTGGAGTATTTGACATTAATTCTTTATTTTCAGTTCACAAGAGGTGAGGACACATGGTTACCCATTTTGGCCTGAAAGGGGAGGGGTGGATGGGGAGACAAAAAACCTGGATTTGTTTGACATTATAAAAAGGCTAACAGCGAAACTGATGGAATAAGTGAAATTTCCGAGGGGCAGCGCTACCGGACCAACCTGGCAGCACCCCAGCTGCTCTGCCGCAGGCATCCCCAATTCAGCCGCTGCTGAAACTGACCAGCAGTGGCTGAATCGGGGACGCCTGGGGCAGAGCCGGACTATCGGAAGGGGGGGGCTATGAGGGGTCTGGGGTGGCATCCCCTCACCCCACCCCAGACCCTCTTATAGCCCCCCCCCCCTTGTGATAGTCCGGCATATCTGATAATCCAGCACCCCCTGGGTCCTAAAGGTGCCGGATTATTGGAAGTTTACTGTACTTAAAAAATGCTCAGAAATTTCACTTATTCTGTCAGTTTCAATCAGTGGCTGAATCAGGGAAGCCGGGTGCAAAGCAGCTCCAATTGTCCGGCTGCCCCAGCACTTCCGGGTTCCTGATGGTGCCGGACCATTGGATGCCGGACCAATGGAGTTTTACTGTATCTTCAGAGAACTCCATTGAAGTCAGGTAGTTTGATTGGGGAATTATTGCTTTTTGCCTGTGTTAAGAACTGTATCATCACACCCTAAAACATATGACAAAATCCTTTGAAACATTGCAAATCACTGGCCTAAAATAAGGGAGGAAGGATTCCTTTCAAACAAGTGATGTGCGGCAGGTCTCATCCACGGGCAATGGCAGGAATAGGAACATTCCACTTCGACTCCAAATCAGCATTAAAAATCTCTTGCTTCAAGGAAAAGCCATCAGGCCCTCGAGTCACAAGAATCTGCTGACAGGAAAAGGCAGAGTTAGTGTGGTTAAAAGGCAATGAAATAAAGGGCTGGGACTGACGAGTTGTCAACTGGCTTCTTCTCAAAGAGGG